CTGGTAGAGACCTGTCAATCACTGTGTAGCCCCGCCCCTAAAGCATCACCTTTGACCTCCCGTCACATTCAGGCTGACGATAGAAACACAGAACTCATCTGAACTCGCCGACAGAAAGAAACAAGAGAAGAAGAAGGATGAAAGTGGGACGGGAGGAAAATAAAAAAAGGACCACAGCTGGAGAGAGAACGAGGGAGAAAATGAAGAGAAGGTTCATCTGCATCTCTAAAAATACTTGAGAGAAACATTAAGTGGGGCAACAGAAACCAGGTCTGACCGCTTCACAACACACACACACACACACACACACTCATAAATACCAGAAAAAACACTCAAGAAGAAGAGACAGTTGAGTTTTGTAACAAATCCCATTGACATATTTGCTGCTTTTATGATCTCAAACTAACAGTGGTTTCACGTTCTCAGTGTGACCTCATTAAGTAAAGACATGAAGGAAGGTTTGATGTTCATGGTGCAGCGTATCTTCATAAAACAGCTCGCATCATATCCTACAGAAAGTCACTGCTCACGATTCGGGCATTTTCATGCAACACGTGTCAATTTCTGCTCATTACATGAATACAGTCTTTTCAAAATAAACTTCCATCTTCAGAGGAAACTACTCAGTTAGGTTTAGACAACTAAACTACTTAGTTGGGTTTAGTCAACTAAACTACTTAGTTAGGTTTAGTCAACTAAACTACTTAGTTAGGTTTAGACAACTAAACTACTTAGTTAGGTTTAGTCAACTAAACTACTTAGTTAGGTTTAGACAATAAAACTACTCAGTTAGGTTTAGACAACTAAACTACTTAGTTAGGTTTAGACAACTAAACTACTCAGTTAGGTTTAGACAACTAAACTACTTAGTTAGGTTTAGTCAACTAAACTACTTAGGTTTAGTCAACTAAACTACTTAGTTAGGTTTAGTCAACTAAACTACTTAGTTAGCGTTAGACAATAAAACTACTCAGTTAGCTTTAGACAACTAAACTACTTAGTTTAGACAACAAAACGGTTAGGTTTAGGAAAAGATTGTGGTTTGGGTTACAATAACTACAGAAGTGGTGTTACTGAAGTACACAAATTACTATAATAATTAATAATAACAATACAAAATGTTTATAATAATAACTAAAATATCTCTGTGTCTCTCTCCTTGCCTGCACGTCGAGGAATGCAACTTTGCGGAGACAAGGGGTTTGAAGCTCTGCGGGATTTCAGATCTTCTGCTGGCCACCGAGGAGGGCATACCAGCCTCCTGGGTGGCTCGGATTGGATCTCACATTTCATTTTATATATAGGTTTGTTTTGTTGTTAGTAGTGTGATTCGGTTTGTAACTGTTTGTATCTGTTTTTATGCTTCTTGGATAATAAATCCATTTGATTTTTACTTTAACCTGCTGGTGTGTTTTGGAGGCGATTGAGAGCACATGGCTGCAGCGAGGGGGGGGATTTCACCCTGTGTCCAAAAGTTATGGCCATAACAACATCCACAAGACAATCTGACTAATTACATTTTTAAGCAAATTAAAATCACACCAACGGTTTACAGGCACGCAGATAAATAAACGTACATAATTTCTAATGTTTCACCTTCTTTAAAATATTCTGGCTGCTGAAGCAGGAAGTAAATGTGCCGTAAAACCAAAACGAGGAGCTAAAAGAGGCTCAAAAGCTCCTCTAAAGATAAAATGTCCGCAACAGCTTCCTGTTTCCCCCTGAGACCAGTTTCCTGATGAGAAAAATAAACTCTCTTTGATGTGACAATAACTGTCAGCAGCTAATGAGGATTTGGTTTTAATTGCGCCATCAGAGGTCATCTGATGAGGAACCAGGATGTTGACACAGATATCGACTGTTTACTCGATTATTCCACAAGGAAACAAAACATCTAACTTGGTCCTAATTTAGATGAAGAAGAGGAGACGATGATGAAGGAAACGTTTTAAAATCACACAAGCTGGAGGGTTAACACGAGATGAATCTGTTTTATCTGGTTTTAAGTAAATTACAGCCATTAAAGGAAAGCCAATGAAGAAGACGCTGTTAGAATAGTGTTGATGAGATAAAGATTAACTCAGACACAAACACAAACCAGCAGAGTCTCTTTTCTCCTTCGTCATGTCGTGTTGTTAATGAAGCCGAGCAGCTGATTACAACAGCTCAGAGGGAGAAAACACTGTGTTTTACACGCTGTCAGTGAAGTAAACAGATCACCTGTGAGAGGAGAAGGGCACCAGGGTCCAGCTACAAAACAGCACATTTAACACACTCTGAAATCAACGTTTCAGCCAGTTTTAAAATCCTGAAATATTTTAACCATCATAAATAAATACTCAACATGTCTGCTGTTTTATTTTGGAGACATATTTGGTATCTTTGGAACCTTTGAGATCTCCTCTAGAATCTAAAATAAAGTTCTCCACATGGGTAGCTGATTTTGGATAAGACACTTAAAGGTTTTAGGTTTTCTGACAAATCTCAGATTACATACTAAGAACACATAAATATATATATATATATTGGTGGTATAATGGACCGTTGTCGATACCCGATCTGTACTGACCCCCCTCACAGTTTAAACGTTAACCATCAGTGTAAATAAAGTTTAATGTTAACCATCAGAGTGTAAATAAAGTTTAATGTTAACCATCAGAGTGTAAATAAAGTTTTATCGTTAACCATCAGAGTGTAAATAAAGTGTTACTGACTCAGTAGAACATGTGTTTCTAGTCTCTGATCTCTGATCGTGTTTCATTGTAAACAACCAATCAGAGGAGAGCTAGTAACGTTAGCAGCACCGCTAACCAACGGAGGTTCACTTCAGTTACATGATGATGCCTTCAGGCTCTGCTCAGTGAACATGAGTACTGGATGAAGGTACATTATAACGTTATCATGATGTGTTCACATCTGTAAAATGTAGTTTTGGTGATAAACTTGAATGAATCCAGTAGTTTGAAGGAGATGTTTTCACGTTAATACAAATAGATATTAGAGATGAATTATGAGCTGTTTACCTTCTAACACGAGCTCTAAGCACATTATTATACTTCATTAATAACAATAATGGCTAGATTTGTTTGAATTGTGTTTTTATGAAGAAAGAAAACATTATAAATCAGATAAAGTTCAACAAAGCAGCGGCGGGGTCGTGGTTGTTGTGGCGGCATACCTCCATCCACTGTCCGTGGGACTTCATCTTGAGGACGAAGCAGGGGTCTGGTTTGGACAGAGCGTCCCGGTCTGAGATCCCTTTGCAGGTGACCCTCAGCTCCACTTTGGTCAGACAGGGACTGCTGAACAGACCCAGAGAGTTGGCCGCCGACTCGTAAATGTCACTCATGGTTGGAGGCGGGACAGGAAGTCTGCACACGGGGGGGGGAGAAGGCAGGGTCATCGCCACGTTCTCACTTTTAACTGGTCAGATTGGACGCGTCCACTCTTTACATGGATGGTAAATGGTACTTGTACTTGTACTTGTACAGCACTTTTCTAGCACACAATGGGCTTTAACTCGACACGTCATTCACACACGTTCATACACCTAAATGACCAATTTTTTGAAGCCGATCGAACCGACGATCTTCTGATTTGAAGGACGACCCGCTGTACCAACTGAGCCACAATCGCCCAAATTTCAAAATAAACTTCGGTCTTCACATGAAGTTAAGTTAAGGCAACTAAAGTAGGACATGGTAGGACGTGGTATTTTTGTCATGCTGCATTTGACAAACTACTAAGACAAAGTAAATGATACTAAATAGTCTGAAGGTTTGAGTGTTGAACCACATTGGTCTCCGTCTGTTGAAGCTTCATAGGAAACACTAACAACGCTGTTGCTGTTACTGAGCTGTTGTATCAGGACAATGAACAGCGCTCTTTCTTGTGTGTAATCGAACATGTGTTTCATTTCCCTCAGTAGTGAGACAGTTATTCTGGACGTTATATCCATAATAACCGTCTCACTGCACAGAGACGGTTAGACGGTTATTAAGATGAACTATTAAATGAAGCATCAGTATCTGAGTGTGACGGAGCTTCACAGATGAACTCTCAGCCCTCACAGGAAACCATTTCTGCTGAGTCATGAAGAAGCACTCTTAACCTTCATCACCTCCCTTCATCATCATCATTATTATCTTCATCGGATTCCCCCCCCGTCAGAGTGAGGCCTCGGTATCCCGGCTGACCGACACTAACGTTCTACACAGGAGGAGGTCAGAGGATGGAGGTCCAGGAGTCTAATGTAAAAGCTGACGAGAGATCAGCTGTTGACCTGTAGAGGATGAAACACCAACCTGCATATTTCTGCTGCAGGACACGAATAAAAACTATTTTCTGTGTCAAAAAAACACTCCGAACATTTCTACATGGAGTTCACGGGCTTCTTGATCAATACCAGTGGAATGAACATCATGGATCATATCCTCGTAGGTCTCTGTTCAGAGGAAGAACGTCTTCTGAACAGAGATGTTATTCTGTTTCCTGCCCAGAGACCACATCTTTAAATCAGCTCAGAGCAACTCTGGTACAGATAAGAGGCTCTGCACTGTCCCTGACCAATACATACAATAATACAAGGAATAACTTAAATATCATAAATAAATGAAATAAAACAAATAAAATTAATTTACTAAATTTAATTAATTAATTAAATTTAATTAATAATATATAAATGATATTGTATTTTTGTAGTGATAACTTAAAAAATAAATAATGTATCTTTAATTTACCTTTAATCTATTAGAAATCCTTTCATTTGTCCATTAACTTGAAAAAAAAGAAAAGTAAATTCCTTAATTTGAAAAGCCATTCATGAACAAATCAACCTCTGTTACAAATCCATGATCATTGAAATGTAATTTAATGTATTAAGGTTGTGATTTGATGTAATGAAATGCAGGCACACCTTGGTTCTATTGGTTTTATTGGTTTTATTGGTTTTATTGGTTTTATGGTTTCTATTGGTTCTATTGGTTTTATTGGTTTTATTGGTTTTATGGTTTCTATTGGTTTTATTGGTTTTATTGGTTTTATGGTTTCTATTGGTTCTATTGGTTTTATTGGTTTTATTGGTTTTATGGTTTCTATTGGTTCTATTGGTTTTATTGGTTTTATTGGTTTTATTGGTTGATTGATGAGGAGACTAAATAAAACCCTTTGACTCTTGCATCCAGACTATTTACCGTCTAGTAAAAGTGGAGTTGGACACGCCATGACTTCATTATTTAAATATGACGCTCTGAGTTTTAAATAAAATGTCTCCCCCAAGAACATCGGAGCTGCAACGAGGACGACAACAGAAGACATGAGAGCAGAGAGAACTTCCTTTGGTCTTATAATACATTAAAGAAACAAGACAAAGTACTCTCCTCCTGTCACTCACTGACATGAACTCAAAGAACTCGTCTTCTTACACATGAGAACCATCATGAGACCTGGTCTCTAGTGCTGGAACCCAATAACAGTACATAGAGTACCTTTACTCAGCCACTTGAGGTACTTTTACTTAACTTGAATATAGTATGTTTATGCTCCTCTCAACTATATTTGTTTGACAGCTTCAGTTACAGATTCAGATTTTACCAAACAAAACGGGACCAAATGGGGAGCGACACTCAATATTAATACCACAAAAGGACTACTACCACACTGTAAAAAAATACTCTGTCACTGTACAAGGACTACTACCACACTGTAAAAAAATACTCTGTCACTGTACAAGGACTACTACCACACTGTAAAAAAATACTCTGTCACTGTACAAGGACTACTACCACACTGTAAAAAAATACTCTGTCACTGTACTAGGACTACTACCACACTGTAAGAAATACTCTGTCACTGTACAAGGACTACTACCACACTGTAAGAAATACTCTGTCACTGTACAAGGACTACTACCACACTGTAAAAAATACTCTGTCACTGTACAAGGACTACTACCACACTGTAAAAAATACTTTGTCACTGTACAAGGACTACTACCACACTGTAAAAATACTCTCACAGTTAAAGTACTAATACCACATTGTAAGAATACTCTGATATAGTTAAAGTACTAATACTAGTAAAATGAGAGGTTTAGAGGTTCAACACAAAATAAAGGTTCCTCGCAATAACTTTAACTTAAAGTCAATTATATTAAAATTAACTGATTTCACTGTTTCAGATGCTGGTGTGAGATGTTAGATTTTAGACTGTAGTTTAACTATTATCAGCAAACATCCACACAGTCAAATTACAGATTATGTTATGAAGCATACGTACTTTATTGGGCTTTTTGCCTGGGTTTAAATGTCTTTAAGTTTGATTAAGGGGACTGCTATGATGATAACTGCACATTGTGGGTGTTTTTTTGCTGCACTGTACAAATAATCCGTCTACTATCACGAATGATATCATGACATCATCAGTCTCCTGTAACCTGAGGAAGCAGCAGGAGTGTAAAGCATCTGTAAATTAGCAGCGTGACGCTCAGCAGGTAGATGTCGGGTGGAGGAGGAGGAGAAGGAGGAGGAGGAGGAGGAGGTGTGGAGCGTTTTCATGCAGCTTTTGGCTGTTCAGTCAAGCGGAGGATGAATCGTCCCACCAGCTGAGGCTCAGACATCCAACAGCAGATTAAAGAGCTGCTCATGAAAATCTCATCACACGAGATCCCCCCGCGCAGCTGCAGCTACAACCCAGTTAATAATTCATGTCATTCAGCAGCGCTCGCTCTCTGAACAATAACAACCACCAGAGCTTCTGTATAGAGACGGGAGGCTCCTGCTCATGGATCCATGGAGGCGATACGGCCCACAGCTCCTTCTTTACGGTTCTACTTCTACATTGACAACAATTTAAAGGGGGCAACATGAGACAGTGAAATGTACCAATGTTCCATTCTATGGTTGTAGAAAGAAAGAAAAACAACTTTCTTATACAAACTGCAGTGATGAGTGCAGAATAGTAACTTATATGCACATGTAAAATATCACCATATGTAATTGTTGGCATAATTGTTTTCCTTGCAGCAAAGAAAATCATCTATTTCTATAATAGAACTCAAACTTCACCCTAAAGTTCTCCATAAGACACTCGATATAACGATTAAAAGACAGATTGTATTAAGACTCGTTCACTCACCTTATTATTTACAGTAACAATCTGATTCACATTAATTAATCATTTTGGTTTTGTCCACATTTAGTTCAAGTCTCACAGAGGTTCCTCTGAACAACATTAGAAACACATTTTAGTTCCTCAGTCGTACTCTCGCTAAGGATGAGGCAGAAATATACATAATGGTGTCGTCTGCATAGAAGTGAACATTGCAACACAGATCATTGATCTACATTGTAAATAAAACAGGACCAGTATGGAACCCTGTGGGACACCATTTTGTATATTTATGTTGCACACTTGGACACACGTGACATCCGGGCGTGCATTCGCTTTTTAAAGATCGTCTTTATTTCTCCGAAAGCGTAGAAATATCGGCGCATCGGCGCCGCCTTACAGCACACTGCCGGCTCTTCTGGTCTACTCCAAAAGAAACGAGCGATACGCTCTCCTCGCCTCCTACCCAAAGAACCCGAGCTGGCTGAAGTGCCTGTATGAGCTTCACTCATAAGCAACCGAAGATGAACCTACTAACATCATTGCAGATTAACATATGCCAGTTAAATAAACACAACAATTAACAAACAATACAAATAATTAATAAATGAGAATACATGACATGTTGGGTGGTGTCCATGCACAGTTGTCCAACATTAATGTGAGCCCCACATTTAAAAAGCTAAGAAATGAACCATTAGCTTGGACAATTAGCGTTCGATCTCTCAAATAGTATTAAAACCATTGAACGGGTTTTGAAGACAGTCCTACCTTATCTAGTCTCTCAGAAGCCTTTGATCGGTCAGCTGGTTGATGAGTCTGATCTGTAACTGACCGTCAGTGATTCATCATCAGCTCCTCGCTGCAGACTGAGAGTAATGATGTGAGCACAGATGGTTCCTGTTATTATTTACAACCTTTAAGTTTACAGGAAAGGAAAGTGATGACATATTGGTGTTTGTATTTACCTTTATTTGCACTCTGTCTTACTCTGCATTGCAACACTTTCCCTCTAAACAGATACAGTTGAACCTTTTCTTCTCTCGTGACTCAGTCTGTGTTCTTGTCCTGGAAGGTTAAAGTTACTTTAGTGTCTCTCAGAGGACGAGGTCGTCTCGGATTGAGCGGAAAAAAACAAACATCACAATAAAAACACATGAAAGAAGAGCACGAGACAAAACAACCAAACAACTTCTGTTAAAAAACTACAAAAAATCATAAAAACTGCAGTAAAAATAGTCTTCTAATCAGAGAATTGAATCAGTAAATTTCCTGGTTGGATTTTCAACTCGAGGCCCCAAAAGTGTCTCATGTTGACTTTGTGGGCATGGATTCATGAAGATCTGATCAACTGTAATTTAGTTTAGTGAATATACACCGAAACCAGCAGTGAATTAGTGCCGTGTGCATCACACATGAGCTCCATTAAAAACACATCAGTGAGCCTCAATGCTGTTCAATGCTGTGATGCTGTGGGCGACTGGGGCGACTGTGGCTAAGTGGATAGCAGGGCCGTCTTTCAATTAGAGGGTCGGCAGTTCAATCCCCGGCTCCGCTAGTCGCATGTCGATGTGTCCTTGAGCAAGACACTTAACCCCAAAAATTTGTCCCGTAGTTGTGCCTACGGTGTAGAAATGTGATAGACTCTGAATTGTAAGTTGGTTTGGATAAAAGCGTCTGCTAAATGACTGTAATCACCGTGAACACAGTGTAGCTTATTCTGACTCAATCACACAGAAACCGGGCCGCAACATCGTTCCAACGGCCCGTTAGTACTGATCCCCAATAGCCCAGGAAAAGGGCCATTTCTCTGGGACTGCTTTGTGAATAAAGCTTCTTAGGAAACATCTTTTAAATCTATTTAAATCTACGACTCTTTGTGTCTCTAATGAACAATGTAGTAGTTTTGTTTCAATCTCGTAAAATCTTGAAAATCTTGAAAATAGTCCCCACAAATGCTCTGTTTCCTCCTGTGAGCAGCTGTTTCAGAACATTTTTAAAACATGAAACTATATATTTGTGTTTGTGTGACAGACTCAGACAGGAAGTCAGACAGCATTGACACACTAACAGGTTGTTGGTTCGAGTCTACACATGAGATTTGCTGATAATGAGAAGAAAAGTCTAAGAACTTCATTATTTCATGTGACGCTGTGCTCACATGCTCAGTGTTCTTCAATTAAATTGTGTTCAGTGTGAGATTACCACAACGAACCTGGAGCAGAGTGATCTCCCAGCAGAGGAGACTGTACACAAAGCACAGATGGTGGAGGACCGGGGGGGTGAATATGAGCCCAGCAGCCCCAGGGCAGCTTAATCACATCCACATAGTGAGCAGTTAGCATGCTAAGTAGCTATGTGGTGTAGTGACTCTACGGACTGTGACTGTGTTACTTTTTTGTTTTCTTACATACTGCAGATCCCTTTGTAAAGTACGTACCGAGGAGAAAAACCCAAAGCTTCATGTGTTAAAGCTGCATTCTCTCTAGTGTCCAC